GTGGTGAAGAGGGAGCTGAGCAATAAGGCAAAGCTCTCTGTTTACCGGTCAGTCTACATCCCAACCCTCACCTGTGGTCATGAATTTTAAGGTAATGACCGAAAGAATGAGATCACATAAACAAGCAGCGGAAATGAGTTTTCTTCGCAGAGTGGTGGGCTATAACCTAATGGACAGTGTGAGAAGCTCAGTCATCCGGGATGAGCTCAGAGTAGAGCTGCTACTCCTCCACATTGAAAGGAGCCAGTTGAAGTGCTTCAGGCATCTGATCCTCCCTTCGGAGGTTTACCAGGCACAGCCAACTGAGACGAGACCTCAAGGCCATCCCAGGGCCCACTGGAGGGATTATTATATCTCCATGTTGGCCTGGGAGCATCTTGGGATTCCTCAGAATGAGCTGGAGGATATTGCAGGGAACAGGGCTATCTGGGCTTCTCTGCTTTCCCTATTGCAACCGCGACCCTAGCTGAATCAAGTGGGTTAAGATGATGATAATGCTTATTATTATTATTATTTTTTACAGCAGACATAAAGTTGAAATCATGCAGGATTAGATTTATGATTCATTATCATAAATCTATGAAATAGACGATTAGGAATGATTCTTTTCTCTTATATTGCTTACTATAGATTTGTACAGGGTTGAGATAGTTACTCAAAAATTAGTAGTCAGCTACTTTGTAGCTACTTTCCCAAAATTTGTAGCAGCTACAATTTAGCTACTTCTCTAGAAAAAGTAGTGGCTACTTTTTAGCTACTTTTTGAAAAGTAGTGCACTACTTTTTAGCTATTTTAAGATTGTCAGAATGTTTGTGAATCTCCACCTGACGCAACAAACAAGCCCAACTGACAGTGTGAACAAGAGACTGCATTTAATTATGTGCCAGAAAGAAACATACAATTGAAAAGCTGTAAATGTACAAAAAGATCACTAAAATGTGAGTTTAAGTGTAACCAACAGTCAAACTTACACAACCAAGACATGATATCCAACAAAAATGTAGATTAAGTAAAGGCAAAGTCAATCATTCCAGGTTTATCCTAACAAAAATCAACCAAAATAACCGAATTCAAACCAAACAACTTTGTGCAAAGCACTGTCAAATGTTGAAATAAAACTGCTCTGATTTAAACATTTCAGCAAGATCTGTACAGACATGACATTCAAAGACTTTTGTTAAACTGCAGCAACACTTTAGCCTTAAAATTCTCATCAGTGATGCTGGCTCTGCGCAGTACTATTAGCAATAGTCTATTATGAAAATGTTTTTCTGCTTTAGCTAACGCAGGGGTCGGCAACATGCGACTCTTTAACTGCCCTGTTGCGGCTCCACAGAACTATTTTAGGTAAAATAACATAATTTGTAAAATCGTTATCACACACAGTTCTAACACAGTTTTCACAATAAATGGTCTTAAACGCTGGAGTTAATGTAGAACTGTTAATGCACCAACATTTAACGCTGAGGACTGACATGCAGACTGCTGGACACAAAGCAACACAGGTAACACAATGGCAAAGAGAAAGGTTTAAGATGAGTGTTGATAATTTGAAGACGAATGGACTTGCTTGTTTCCTCATACGTTTAATCTGCGAAGCTGAAGTTGCTTCTCTTTCTCCAGCTTCTCGGTTGAAAAGTCCCGTTCTACCATAAACGGCGCAGCAGTACAATCTGGCGCCTCTGGCACCATTTAAGGTGGAACGGGACAATTTGAATGAGAAGCTGGAGAATGAGAAGCAACTTCAACCTCGTAAAAAGTAGAACACTGAGAGATGTTTTACAAGAAACTCACGGAGAAGTTTCCTGAGATGCGAGAAAAGAGGCTATAGCTGAGCTAAGCTTAAAGCAGAGCAAAGTGAGTCTGTGTTTTCATTTATATTATACTTTTAGCCTGTATTAGTATCATTAGTATTATCAGCACAGACTGAGACATACTTACAGTCAAGATGGTAAAACAGGTATAAAATGTTTTGGCTCCAAAGGTGGTTTCATTTTTGTTGAAAGGACAAAATGGCTCTTCTTAACATTTGGGTTGCGACCCCTGAGCTAAGCCTACTAAGCACGTGGGGGAAGCGTGTGACCGTTTGCTTGAACTGTCCGCAGCTCAGTCAGGACAACTGCACAGTCGCCACCAGCCCAGTTAACGACCACATTCTATGGTTCGGATTTTGCGCAGATTGCCTGAAGCCTGTAGCGAAAATTATCGCTTTAGCTAGACAAATATTTGTAGGCGCCACAGCTATTAGCTACAAAAATTTATAGTTAACTACAAAAAGTAAAACTTTTAAAACAAAAACAAAAACTATGTGAGAGTCATGTGATACGTCTTTTGAGTATTTTAGTTTACACCTGTATGCACCAACTTTGAATGCCGTTGAGGATGGCATGAGCCAAAATACCTGTAAAATAAAAAGATTTAAGCAGTTATAATCTCTTTCTTATATATTTGCTGTGTGTGGGCCTCTGTGTTCTATTTCAGTAAAAATGTAATGAAAAAAATGTCCTTGTGGTTAATTAACTCAGTGTCTTACTGAAAATAAAATGCTAACTATTTTGTAGTAATGTATTGTAGTTTTGTCATACATTTAGTATAAGTAGGGACTTTGGGACAGTGGCAACGTATTCTATGGAGTGACGAATCAGCTTCTCTATCTGTCAGTCTGATGGACGAGTCTGGGTTTGGCGAATGCCAGGAGAACATTACCTGCCTGACTGCACTGTGCCAACTATACAGTTTGGTGGAGGAGGGATGATGATATGGAGCTGTTTTTCAGGGGTTGATCTAGAACCCTTAGTTCCAGTGAAGGGAAATCTTAATGCTTCAGCAGAACAAGACACTTTGGACAATTGTATGCTTTTTTCCTGTTGGTTGTTTCTTACACCATCAGCTCTAGTTCTTGTTTGATAAAATGTTTTAAATGTTTGGTTTGATGTTTTTCCCCCAGTTTACTGTCCTAAATAACAGAAATAACACAACTCAACAAACTCCAAAATGTATCATGCATTATTTATGGCAAATGCAAACGTAAAATACAACACAGCCTATGCAAAAAACAATGAAGACTGTCCTATTTTAAGAAAATAATTAGAATCATCTTGAGAGAACTTTTTTTTGAAGTTTTTTTTTTTAGAATTGCATTTAAGAACATTCTTATGATCTTATTTAAGAAGTTTTTTCTTAAGAAAGCTTTTGTGAATCCAGGCCAAGGCTCTATGGTTGGATGAGACAAAAATAGTTTTTCAGCAACAACCAAAAAAAGACAGTTACACAGAAAAGTACCTCATCCCCACTGTTAAGTACAGTGGAGGATCTGTGCTATTTTCGGACTGTGAAGTACCTGCAGATTTAAATCTGCCAGTGCCAACCTTTGGCCAGCTTTTGACATGGCGATCCCAGTCCACTGATCTAAATCCCACTGAAAATCTGTTGGTTAAGCTGAAGATGAGAGTCTAAACGAGAGGATGAGGACTCTGGAGACACTAGAGAGATAATCTATATTGAGGGGTGATCTCAACAAATTTCAAAGTAGTAACTTAATGACGGATTTTGCGTCATAAATCACACCTTGTCTTCTCAGCTTTATAACTCAGGACTGCTTTACCGCAGCAGTTCACTACGCACATCCTCAGAAACTGCGGAGTCTCCCGCTTCTAAAAACAGCGGCGCCATCGCGGTCCGACGAAGCGTCTGTGAGTAATCCACTGTGGAAAAACAGTCAAATAGACGCTCCTTCACAGTTTCTGTTTTATTCTTCTACTAAATCTCAGTTTCTGTGCTGATAAACTCTGCATTTCGCTTTATTTACACTACTATTATTTATTATAGGGCTTCTGAAACGTTTACACGGTGTTTCAGATCTAATATCTGATTAATTTAGTCAGTATTATCGACCGAAAACGCCTCTCAGCGCCTCCGCCGATTAGCCGCTCTGCAGCTCCAGGCGCGTCTTTCACTGCCCTCCGTTAAAAAACCGCTCTTTCGCTCCGCTCCTCGCGCTCTGATCACCGCGTGCGCGCGCATCTCGCTTTATTTCCACTACTATTGTTTATTATAGGGCTTCTGAAATGTTTACACGGTGTTTCAGATCTAATATCTGATTAGATGAGTCAGTATCATCGACCGAAAACGCCTCTCAGCGCCTCCGCCGATTAGCCGCTCTGAAGCTGCGCGCGGCTCGGCAGTGTTCCTGCTGTGTTTGTGCGCGTGTTTCTTAGCAACGGCCCGTTGGTCACGTGCACGCTCATCTAGAACTGAAGATGTGCGCGCACCTTCAGAGCCTTTTGGCGTCCGTCCAACCCCGCTGGACTGATCCAGATTTCAGGTTTATATTACGGTACAGACTCTTTACTGTGTGTTTTCTAGATAAACCAGTGTTTATCTGATCATTTCTGGAAGGATTCTTTATTATAGGAGTCACTGTTATTATAAGCAGCTGATAATAAACACCCAGTGTACTAAAACAGTGTTGTATTAGCTGGAATATTAGCCATATTGGCCCTGAACAAAAAACCCAAAGGCTTGACCTGCTGTGTCAGCCTGTCACATGCAGTTTTAACAACCTGCATGTCTCCTTTAGGTGAGAATATCAAGAAAAATAAGTCCGCCTGATGCTAATCACATACTATTTGACAGTAATAAGCCATATAATGAACAATCATCAAAATTCTTATATTTTCAGCTCATAGACACTTTATCCTAAAACTTTCTCATTGACATCTAAGAGGTGCAGTGATGTTTTGAATAGATACAGTCAAAAATAAGTAAAAAAAAAAAACAGGCGCTTGGTAAATTTTTGATCAAAACATGTCCAGTTTCATAAAAATATCAAACTTCTGTGGGCATTTACAACTCAGGTGATTACATATTTGAGAAGCAACATGTCTTCTGAACATAAAACAACATATAACATGTGGCTGTCTCATATAATTACTAGAGTTACAACAACTGAAAGAGGAACTGACAAAAACGGGGGGAAAAACACACCTAATAGTGCTAGGGCTCTAAGGGTTTTTAAAGATCTATGACTAAATTTACTTCAATTAAAGTTTTGATTTTTAAACATTTTTTCATTGTGAGAGTTATTGAAGCATAAAGATGTTTTTTCACCCATCTTTAAGGGTGCCAGCTGACTGTAACTTACCCTCTTTCTCAAGTCGTTCTCGTTGTTTTAACTCTCTGGACTTTGCTCTGGTCATCACAGTCGTCTTCCACTCTGCAGTCTCCTCCAGTATCTTTGCCTCAATTTGGAAATGAGCACCATCATTTATTCGCACTATATCCTCAATCTTTTCCAGCAGCTGCGTCACCTGAGATGTATTATCTGAGACTGTACTGTCAAAGACATGATATCTGTTCCCGCATCTCTCTATCAGCCACTTTAGAGCTTCCCCCTCTTTTTCAATGTGCTGTTCTATAGTTCTTTTCCCCAGAGAGCGGCTTCTAGTGAACAGCACAAGAGTGTGTGTCCAGATCTGGTCACCAAGGAGTGCAAGGTGATCCACTGCAGTTTTCCTGTGCTTTTCTGTGAATGGAATGTCAATCTCGATGACCAGTAGGATCGCGTGGGGTCCTGGATGGCACAAAGAAACTCCTTGAACGAGCTCCTTTTTCAGAAAGTTTGCAGTGTCGCTCAGTGGAAAATGCTTCCACCAGCCTGGAGTGTCAACCAGCGTCAGCTCTCTTCCACACACATTTCCCTGTAGCTTCTCACACTGAGCAGTCCTCTTCTGATTCGGCAGGAAGTCTTTTCCAAACACGGCATTGATCAGTGTGGTCTTCCCAGCAAACTTCCCCCCAAACACCACAGCTCTGAGCTCTAAAACGCAGAGAACAACAGACAGACAGTCAGAGGGATAAACAGACTGATTACGGGAGGAGAAAAAGTATTTGTATAAGATGTTTCTTGTCTCTATGTCTAAAATATGTCATGGTAGATTCCCTAAACTATTCATGCTACCTGAAACAATAATATCCTTCAGTGGAAAACCGAAATTTTTAAATATCTAAAGCTGCATGTTTCAAAGTTCTAGATTACATGCCTAAACCAGTTTCCTTCCAGGACTGAAAGTCTGATGCCACTCGCTGTACTTCAGCTGAGGAAAGTGCATATCACCTGACACTGTGTTGAACAAGATTATAGTAGGTTATAATGAGTGAGGTCACAAATTATACTTTAAAGAACACTTGGTTGTCCAAACACATTAAAATGAGGTGAAGTTGTTTGCAGCAGGAAGTGGCGGAGAGCCCGGGCTCCCTGACAGTGTGGCCTTTGTCTCCTGTGGGGGGAGCCACCAGCTCTGGAGGCATTGAATATGCAGTGTCAGAGCCAGTTAGTGTATCTCCGTCAGAGTGAGGGCACCATGGCTTACTGTGACCTGAGGGGTTCCACCAAGCCAAAGAGCAGGACGCAGAGCTCTCTTGGACACGCGGATGACTCTAGATGGGACAGAAACTCGGTTTGGCAGACTTGACTGCTAAGGTGCTTTGTGCTAGTTGGGATGCATGATGAGATGTTGTGCCATGTGTGGGAGGAGCCGGTGCCTGGGAAGCGTGTTGCAGCTACTGGTGCCACACAGCCTTAGGGAGGTGGTGTTAGGCAAGGTGCATGCTGAAGCAGTTGCAGCAGAGGGTCTACTGGCCAGGCTGCTGAACAGATGTGAAGCTGTATGTGCATTACTGTGATCAGTGCACAAAGAAAGAAAGGACCCCCACAGTAGTCACATGACCCACTCAGTCTCTGATGGAGAGGACGCCCATGGTGTTAGCGTTTGGCTAACACCATGGACATTATTCAAGAGTCACCTTGAAGTTCTCTGATTCTTCACTGTGTTTCTGACGGCTGGTTTGTGTGTAAAAGTCACTTTGAGTCACACTTGTTTTAGTCACTCTCTCAGAGGCTGTAATGGAACACCAGCCAGGATGAAGTACAGCCTCCATTTACAGAGTTACAGCTAATAGAACTGAACTGAATTGCTTACTGGGTCCTGGATTTCCTGACTGAGAGAGCTCAATTAGTCAGGATCAGTAATAATATCTCCAGCACCACCATACTGAGCACCAACGCCTCTCAGGGCTGTGTGCTCAGTCCACTGCTGTTCACTCTGCTGAGTCACGACTGTACTGCAAAGTACAGCTCAAATCACATCATCAAGATCACTGATGACACGACTGTGGTGGGTCTGATCAGCAAGAATGATGAGTCAGCATACAGAGAGGAGGTGCAGCGGCTAACAGACTGGTGCAGAACTAACAACCTGTCTGTGAATGTAGACAAAATTAAGGAGATGGTTGTTGACTTCCGAAGAGTGCAGGGTGACCACCCCCCACTGAACATCACTGGCTCTGCTGTGGAAATCGTCAGGACCACCAAGTTCCTTGGTGTCCACATCACAGAGAACCTCGCCTGGTCCTTCAACACCAACTCCATAGCCAAGAGAGCTCAGCAGCACCTCTGTTTCCTGCGGAGACTAAATCAGGCTCATCTCCCCCCTCCCATCCTCACTATGTTCTACAGGGGACTGTGGAGAGCATCCTGAGCAGCTGCATCATCGCCTGGTTTGGGAATTGCACCGCCTCCGACCGCAAGACCCTACAGCACATAGTGAGGACAGCTGAGAGGATCATCTCTCTCCCCTCCATCATGGACATCTACACCACACGTTGTATCCAGAAAGCCACCAGCATCGTGAACGACCCCATCCATCCCTCACACAGACTTTTTTCACTGCTGCCGTCTGGCAGAAGGTACCGGAGCATCCGTGCCATCACTGACAGACTCTGCAACAGCTTTGTTCCTCAAGCTATCAGGTTTTTAAACTCAGAAGGACTGAACTGAAAACCCCCTCACATACATACTACACACTCACACACACACACACACATAAACACATACTCTGTGTTCTCTCACACACACACACACACACACACACACCTCTTTTGATGCTCTACTTGCTCTATCTAGAGCATTGCTGCTATCACTGTGTTTACACTGTGTTCTAATCAAGTACTGTATATATCTCACAGATCACAGCATGTTAAATATCTCTGCACCTTATTCCACAACCTCATGTCCTGAAACGAGTGTTGTGTCGGTGCTGCACTGTCCTGTCTGTTTACCGTGTCTAATGTCTGTTTTATTTATCATATTTAGTGTATTGTTTCTAGTGTAAATTTGTTTGAACACTATGTCTGCATGTTGCACTTTGTACTGTCTATTTTGTTCCTTGTTGCACCGTGTTGGTCCTGGAGGAACGTAATTTCGCTCCACTGTGTAGATAGATGGAATGACAATAAAAGCCTCTTGACTTGACACCATATTTAAACATTAATCTGTATCAGAGATCTGAGAGCTGCTCCTGTAAAAGTGATTGATCTTGTTTGAACATTTGAATGTGTTGTGAATGTCCTGCCTGTTACACAAACTGTCTGTTTCATCAGGTACCTCTAGGTCAGGGGTCACAACCCAAATGTTACGAAGAGCCATTTTGTCCTTTCAACAAAAATCAACCCACTTTAGGAGCCCACTTTAGAAACATGTCCATTATTTATGTCCATTTTATTGAAGTAACGTTTACACATCATGCACCTGGTGGTAATTTATAAGCGAAGAAACCCTTTTCTTTCTCCATTCTGTAGTGGGACAGATGAGAAGATATGTTGGCTGGGCATGCACAGACCTGGGGCTCAGCAAAGTGACGTTATAGCCCACCCATTTGGAGTTTTGCCCCTCCTATTTGAAGCTTTGGTCCGCCCATTTGGAGTTTTGCCCCTCCCATTTAAAGCTATGGTCCACCTATTTAGAGTTACACCCCTTCCATTTGAAGCTTTGGTCCTCTCATTTGGAGTTTCACCCCCCTAATCTGAAGCTATGGCCCACCCATTTGGAGTTTCGCCCCTCCAATCTGAAGCTATGGCCCACCCATTTGGAGTGTTGCCCCTCTAATCTGAAGCTATGGCCCACCCATTTGGAGTTTTGCCCCTCCCATTTGAAGCTATGGTCCACCAATTTGGAGTTTCGCCCTTCCCATTTGCAGCTATGGTCCACCCTTTCAGAGTTACGCCCCTCCCATTTTTAGTTTTGTTTCTCCTCTTTGAAGCTATGGCCCACCCATTTGGAGTTACGCCCCTCCCATTTGCAGCTATGGTCCACCCTTTGGGAGTTATGCCCCTCCCATTTGGAGTTTTGCTCCTTTTCTTTGAAGCTATAGCCCACCCATTTGGAGTTTCGCCCCTCCCATTTGAAGCTATTGTCCACCCATTTGAAGTTTCGCTCCTCTCGTTTGAAACTATGGTCCACCCATTTGGAGTTACGCCCCTCCCATTTGCAGCTATGGTCCACCCTTTCAGAGTTACGCCCCTCACATTTTTAGTTTTGTTCCTCCTCTTTGAAGCTATGGCCCACCCATTTGGAGTTACGCCCCTCCCATTTGCAGCTATGGTCCACCCTTTGGGAGTTACACCCCTCCTAGTTGGAGTTTTGCTCCTCCCCTTTGAAGCTATGGACCACCCATTTGGAGTTACGCCCCTCCCCTTTGCAGCTATGCTCCACCCTTTTGGAGTTACGCCCCTCCCATTTGGAATTTTGCTCCTTTTCTTTGAAGCTATGGCCCACCCATTTGGAGTTTCGCCCCTCCCATTTGAAGCTATGGTCCACCCATTTGGAGTTACGCTCCTCCCATTTGCAGCTATGGTCCACTCTTTGGGAGTTACGCTCTTCCCATTTGGAGTTTTGCTCCTTTTCTTTGAAGCTATGGCCCACCCATTTGGAGTTTCGCCCCTCCCATTTGAAGCTATGGCCCAGTCATTTGCAGTGTTGTCCCTCCTATGTTGTGTTTGTGTTTTGGTGCCCTTCCCCCTCTTTTTCCTGTGGTTCTCATCTGTTTCAGTAAAGAGTTCCTTTAAGAGAAAATGGCAGACTTGGTTCTTCTTCTGTGTCAACACTACAACCTTATAGTCATGTTCATTTGTACACAGTTGCCAGGTTTAGTAGGGGGCAGGGCACAATCTAAGGTGGAGTAAAATGTGGTTGAGCAGGTTTGAGTAGAATGTGTTTCTTTGTCTTCTTGTTTCCTCAGAGCCACATTCTGATTACTATCTGACAGACGTTTTTCAAGAGTCACCTTAAAGTTCTCTGATCCTTCATTATAAGTGTTTCTGGTGGCTGGTTTGTGTGTAAAAGTCACTTTGAGTCACACTTATTTTAGTCACTCTCTCAAAGGCTGTAATAGAACACCATTCTCCGTTTACAGAGTTACAGCTGACAGAACTGAACTGAATTCATTGCATAATATTTAAACATTAATCTGTATCAGAGATCTGAGAGCTGCTCCTGTAAAAGTGATTGATCTTGTTTGAACATTTGAATGTGTCTAAGCAGTAACGAATGAGTAGTGCTGCATTAACACTTAACTACTCTTAACTATCTAACTATCTACTCTCTAACTACTCTTAACTATCAAGGACTACTAGTTAACTACTCAGTAGGTAATAGTGAACTAATGATTAGGGTAGTTCACTATAAAGCACAGTGAAGCTATGGTCCACCCATTTTGCATTTTGCTCCTCCCATTTGAAGTTATGGTCCACCCATTTGGAGTTATGCCCCTCACATTTGAAGCTATGGTCCACTCAGTTGGAGTTACACCCCTCCCATTTGAAGCTATGGTCCACCCATTTGGAGTTATGCCCCTCCCATTTGAAGCTATGGTCCACTCAGTTGGAGTTACACCCCTCCCTTTTGAAGCTAGGGTCCACCCATTTTGCCCCTCCCATTTGAAACTATGGTCCACCCATGTTGTGTTTTGCTTCTCCCATTTGAAGCTATGGTCCAGCCATTTTGCGTTTCATCCCTCCCATTTGAAGCTATGGTCCATCCAGCTGGAATTTCGTCTCTCCCATTTGAAGCTACGGTCCACCCATTTGGAGTTTCATCCCTTCCATTTGAAGCTATGGTCCACCCATTTGGAGTTACACCCCTCCCATTTGAAGCTATGGTCCACCCATTTGAAGTTACACCCCTCCCATTTGAAGCTACGGTCCACCCATTTGGAGTTACACCCCTCCCATTTGAAGCTAGGGTCCACCCATTTGGAGTTACACTCCTCCCATTTGAAGCTATGGTCCATCCAGCTGGAGTTTCACCTCTCCCATTTGAAGCTATGGTCCACCCATTTGGAGTTACGCCCCTCCCTTTTGAAGCTAGGGTCCACCCATTTTTCACCCCTCCCATTTGAAGCTATGGTCCACGCATTTGGTGTTATGCCCCTCCCATTTGAAGCTATGGTCCATCCAGCTGGAGTTTCATCCCTCCCATTTGAAGCTACGGTCCACCCATTTTGTACCCCTCCCATTCGAAGCTATGGTCCAGCCATTTTGTGTTTCATCCCTCCCATTTGAAGCCATGGTCCACCCTTTTGGAGTTACACCCCTCCTATGTTGTGTTTGTGTTTTGGTGCCCTTCCCCCTCTTTTTCCTGTGGTTCCCATCTGTTTCAGTAAAGGGTTCTTTTAAGAGAAAATGGCAGACTTCTTCTTCTGCGCCAACACTACAATCCTACAGTCATGTTCATCTTTACACAGTTGCCAGGTTTAGTAGGTGGCAGGGCACAATCTAAGGTGGAGTAAAATATGGTTAAGCAGGTTTGAGTAGAATGTGTTTCTTTGCCTTCTTGTTTCCTCAGAGCCACATTCTGATCACTATCTGACAGATGTATTTCAAGAGTCACCTTAAAGTTCTCTGATTCTTCATTGTGTCTCTGATTCTTCATTGTGTTTCTGATTCTTCATTGTGTTTCTGACGGCTGGTTTGTGTGTAAAAGTCACTTTGAGTCACACTTATTTTAGTCACTCTCTCAGAGTCTGTAATAGAACACCAGCCAGACTGAAGTACAGCCTCTGTTTACAGAGTTACAGCTGACAGAACTGAACTGAATCCCTTACATCATATTTATACATTAATCTGTATCAGAGATCTGAGAGCTGCTCCTGTAAAAAGTGATTGATCTTGTTTGAACATTTGAATGTGTTGTGAATGTCCTGCCTGTTACACTAACTGTCTGTTTCATCAGGTACCTCTAGGTCAGGGGTCACAACCCAAATGTTATGAAGAGCCATTTTGTTCTTTCAACACAAATCAATCCACCTTGGGAGCCTCAACACTTCATGTCCATTTTACTGAACAATTTCCCATCATGCACCTGGTGGAGATTTACAAGCAGAGAAACCCTTTTCCTGCTCCGCTCTGCAGTGGGACAGATTTGGAGACATGCTGGCTGGGTGTGTGAAGATCTGAGGCTCAGAGCGGTTCACTGTAGAACTGAATATTCTGGCAGATCATCAAACAGAATTTCTTTAATATACCTGTAAAATGTGCAGTTACTGTTTACATTAATGTAAAGATTCATACATTAATAAAACACGCAGTGATTCAGCACTGCTGACTGAACTACATCATAAAAACTCATACATTAAGAAGTCACCATGACAGAGAGAGAAAAAGGAAAGAACATCTACAGTTCTTCAGTAAAGCTGTTCTTACAGTCCTGCACATCTCCTCACATCACTGTTACACACTGACATATTAAACCAGCCAGTTTACATTTAGATTAATATGATTATTATTTTAAAACGGAGCAGATTTGACTTTTTACAGAGATTTCAGGCTCTCTCTCTCTCTCTCTCTCTCTCTCTCTCTCGCACGTCACTATTTGCATAAAACGTATGATGATATTAAACACGGTTGCTTTTATCGCAGCGTTAAGATGAGAAGTAGAGTTGCGACCACCATCCGGAGCCCCTCTCACTCTAAAAATGGCTCTCAGGTCAACCTAAAAAAAATTACTTCCGTTTTATGCTTTCAGTTTTATAATAAATACTATGAATAAACGGCTCTTTCAATCAAACTAATTTTTGAGATGAATAAAACTGGTTAATTTATTTGTTACGACATGAAGTCATTTTTAGGTTGATCTGATGAGCCACTTTTTACAGTGTAACACTGAACCATCCAGGTGACGCAGCTCTAACGAGACTCTGCTGATTTTATTCCGCACTGGAAACTGAACGGTGGGATCTTTACTCACCCATCAGGGGACGGACTGAGTCTGCTCCGCTCTCAGATCTCTCCTCACCCATCAGGGGACGGACTGAGTCTGCTCCGCTCTCAGATCTCTCCTCACCCATCAGGAGACGGACTGAGTCTGCACCGCTCTCAGATCTCCGCTCTTTCTCCTCAGATCCCCGATCTCAGAGTTAGTTTTATGGTCTATTCCAGACTCATTCTGCTCCCGGACTCCTCAGAAATCCGGTGACGCCGCTGAAGTGTGCGCTCTTACTTTCGATTCTAGTTCACGGGTGTTGTGACTACCCGCCCTAACCGGTCCGACCGGACAGGCGCAGATCATTATCAATCTAGCGCTTCTCGCGTCTTACTGCGCTCTGAGTGTCATTCTGCCTCCAGAATTACCTCGAGTGCAGATTTGGGTTAATAACCTTATTAACACTGTAAAAAGTGTCTCGTCAGATTTGCCTGAAAATTACCTAATGTGGAAACAAGCAACTTAACCAGTTTAATTCAACCTAAAAATACATTTAAAGAATCGTTCATTCAAAACATTTATTTAGGTTGAATTAAACTGGTTAATTTATTTGTTCAACATGAAGTCATTTTTAGGCAGATCTGACGAGACACTTTTACTGTGCACTCCTGATGAGATGGTTATCAAAATAATAATAATATGATCTGACCCTTTGTTCATTAAGGATACATGATTATTTTAATGAAGTATGAAAACAGTTGTTTGTTTCTGATGAATGCATGAAAATAGAAGTAAATATTGG